ATGCTTCCACCACTGATTCATAAAAAATTACAGAATTTGAAATAGTTGCTCCCACGTATATGCTCCACTTTGAGCAAAAATTACATTCATTTCTTCTATCAAATTACTTACTTTGAAGGGGTTTATTGGTTTGAAATTTTGGGATCTATTTTAGAATAATACAATTTTTACATAAAGGGTTGTGTTTCAGAAAAAAATAAAAAAATTGTAAATAGAGGGTTAGTGCCCAAACACCTAAATCTTAACTATTTAAAAATTAGACAATCTATATGCCATTTTTTTATGCTGTTTTGGGGTGTGAATAAAGAGTATATGTGTGTTTTTTTATTTATTTCTATTTTCTTTTTTTAAAAGATGATTGCTAGGTTGAGTAAGTCACTTCTCATTAATTTGGGCTTCCAAAAATGTTCCTATGCCCAATTGAGCATATTTACTTTTGAAAAATGGTCAGCCCTATCAAAACAAGTAAAGCCTTACTTTATAACAAATAGAAAATGGCAATTCAAGCATTAGAAAAGCCTTTACATTGAGCATCGTGGCTTGAATATTATGGTTGTGAAAAAAAAAAAAAGGATTTCAAGCTCTAAAAATATGGTTATTGTAAAAATTATCTAGACCATCCATTTCGCCTTAAAAAAATAAGTATTCATATATCTACAAGATCTGTACCATTTTTTGAGTTTCGAATTTTATTGACGGTGTTGGAAATTGATTTTAGAGTCATCATAGAGATTTTTGTTGCTGAAAGTGATTTTTGGACGAGAATTTGAAATTGAAGTTTTATTTTATTTTCATAAAACCTAGGCCTTATAGAAACCTCATCCTTTACGTTTTGCCGGCAAGAGCTTATATAATCTTTTCATAAAAACGTATGTGTAGTTCTTCAACATTTGTTAGTTGGGAGTAGATAAGGCAAAGAAAATTTACACGTAAAAATCTTATATCTGACTTTGGAGCATTGAATGAATGAAATGATTTGTCATTGGTGTATTTTTTTGGTGGTAAACTAATTGCGAAGAAATGAAGAACATTAAAAGAACATCGAGTGATGAATAAATGACTAAAATAACTTAGATTGTGATATGGCCATATTGTTTTAGTATTTAGAAAATACCAGGTATTACTTGAAAATAATATTTTGAAAAAACTTAGTCTTTGGAGAGCATTAACTTTTGTATTTAAATAGAAAGATAACTAATGGGCTTTTAGTTCACATTCAAGAATGGAGAAAAAAAAGTCATGTTTAAATGTGATAGTACCTTTTATATTATGATCTAAAAACCAAGATGAGAGAAGGCCTATACAGAGTATGTAAAGTGTCGAAAACACTCCCTTGTAAAAAAAAAGTGTCCAAAATACTCGCATACATGCGGAGGTGCTGTGGTTCTCTTCTCTCATGTGCAAACTTTTCTCTCTATAAAAAATTGATTTTAGTGCTCTTGATCTTTCTGCACTTGATAATATTCGATTTTGATAGTGTTCAATCTTCTGTTTTTTAATACATCGGTGAAAAAATTACCTGAAAAACTTAGATGCATACTAGTTTTTATTATTAAAGGGTAAATATTGTCTTGTGGTAGCAAAGTTTTCATAAAGGGAAAATAATAGTAAAATCTCCATAAAGGCAAATATTATCTTGCGACAGCAAAAAATTTATAAGAGATAAATATTGTACAAGTTATGTTCATATTTGGTGCGATGTCACAATTAGTCCCCAGATGTAAAATCAGCACGCTAAGGATGTGTTATAAAGTTTGAGACAAATTTCTTTACCTTTTGAATATAGTTGAGTAAAAAGATTATATAAAGTTGAGGATCTAAACAATCCAACTAGGGCGCACATCAAAAATTCATTAGAAAAAGTTGTTTCGACGTACAAAAACCCTCAAATAAAATCACATTGATTTGAGATACATGGACTTAGAAAAAATGGACTTTTAAGTTTTAGAAGTAGTGTATCACGTAATGCATTAGCTCTGGATAAGAATTTATATGCACTAAAATCACATTATAGCACATTTGTTTTTTATTATGTAGCTTTTAAGTAAAAAAATTTATATGAGGCATCAATTTTATACTATTAAAGAAAAAAGCACTTTAAAAACTCATTGTAGAAGGTTACTTTGATGGAAATTTATCAAATTCACAATCTCAACATATGTATGGATATGAAAACAGATAATTTTAGTCCTAGAAAAAGTGCATTTTGCATGTCAAAACTACATTTTTATGTAAAATAGTTCAAAAAATAGTGCATCTCGACATATTTTAACTATAATTTGAGCTTTAAATTTTATAATTAGTGGTAGAAATAGATTTTCAAATTATTATAGGAGTTTGTCATGCCCGAATTACATCTTTTTGTAGGGTTTGGGAATGCGTTTTCCTTTGACTTTTTAATATCGAGGCAATATTTAAACCACACCCTTTCACCGAAGGGAAAAGTTTATATAGAGCCGAGGCTCTAAACATCAAGATGCATGTATATGAGAAAAATATATATTTCAAGTTATGGAAATAGTGCATTTGTAATGTGTTTTTTTACTGTCAATTTTCAAGATTTTCATAGATCTATCAATCTACACTATGTTTTATGCTTTAAACTTTATAAATAAATATAAAAATATATTTTAAGGCTATCACAAATATTTCCCATATTGAAACTACATTTTTTGACATTATTTGAAGGTAGGCTCTAATTTGATTATTTAGAGCTTAGGCTCTATACAAACCGCACCGTTTACGTAATACTCAGGATTTAATCGATAAGTGAAGCCACAACTATAAACTACATAGGGATATCAATTTGAGGGTTTCTAGCACCAAAAATGTGTTTCATGTAGGGCTTTCGGTGAAACTTTACTTTTATCACAAAACCTAGGTCTTATGTTAACCACACGTTTAACAAAACTAACCCACAAAAACTATTCCACTATCATGTCCCTACAACAATGGCAAGTGGCCCAGCCCAGCCTAATTGGCCCAATTTGGAATAATTTGGGCCTGGTCCACCAAAATTTGACCTGATGACAGGCCCGAACCTAAAATATAGGCTCTGCCAGGCCTGGCTTGGCCTTATCATCATTTGTTTTTCTTTTTATAAATTTTTTAAACAAAAAATATTTATATTTATTGCCCGGGCTTACTAGAGCTGGCCCAACCCCATTAAGAGGCCAAGCTAGGGCCACCTAGCCCAAGAATACATCGGGGCCTAAGCTGGGGGCCCATTGGCGCCATCTGGGCCAGGTCTTGCGAGCCCCGAGTTAGCCGTCTGGGGTCCGAAGGTGTGATCGAGCTGGCCGTGGCGGTTGCCACCCCTCTTCTAATTGATATAAACATGATGTTTACATTCCAAAAAGGCCCAATGCATGGGTTTTGCTACTAAACTTCAAGTACTTTTGTATAGTCCAACCCAATTTTTTTTACAAAGGGTGAACTTTGTATAAGGCGCCCTTTTTATATTTTAGAAGTAAGTCGCACATCTGAATTTTGTTTAGAGATTTAATTTCAATGTTGGAAACTTTATGATAGTTTCAAATTCTATTTCTGTCTCTAGTTATGAAATTTAAAATTTTTTATTCAAATTGAGCAAATTCACATATACGTAAAAATCTTGAAACTAACGTTCCAGGTAACTTTTATAAGATATACTATTTTGGAAAAGTTTTGGAAATAGTGTATTTTGTAATGTATTTTTGGACCATCAATTTTTTAGATTTTCAAGTTTTCATAGATCTATCGATCTACACTATTTTTGAAGTTTTAAACTTTATAAATAAAGATGAAAATATATTTTAAAGCTATCATAAATATTTTCAGTATTGAAACTACATTTCTCGACACTATTTGAAGGTAGGCTCTAGTTTGATTGTTCAGAGCCTAGGCTGTATACAAATCTCACCCTACTATTTTTATTGCTTAATTTATTTTTCTTTAAGTATTAAGACTTTTTTCTTTTTTTTTTCATATCACACATCTTAAGGTTGAGATGATCAAATCATAGTATTTTCCAATTTCGAAACATTCTCTTTTGGAGGATTTTTGAGGCACATCTTATTTCAATAATATAAGATGTCCTAAACTTTTTGCTTTAAAAAATCAATCAAATTATGTTACAACCCCAATCCACTCATGTTACAACTCGACCTTATCAATTGATATTTTAGAGGAGATTGTATCGACAAGAATGAGAAGGATATCATAATCCACGTGATCACCATCCTGATTTGGAGAACGTTTATTCCTTCAAACTGGTTTGTATAAGGTCTATACAAGTAAGGAGCGCTTCTAAATTTTTTTTTAAAGATAAAAGTTTTAGAATTGGGATGACTTGAAAATTTATATTCAACCCTAATTAAAATTTACAATTCCAAAAATGGTACAGAAGATCCATCAACATTTGAAAATATTTAAAATAAATAGTCCCTATAACATGTTATAATATATATTAGTTTTATGTTTATACTACTTTTAATTTTTTTTCTTTATATCCATATATATCAAAATCAATATCAAGATGATTAATTAGAAAGCTTTCTAACTTAAGCATGCTTTTTTACTCGATTTTTCAAGGTGCACTTTACTTCTATTACGTCTAAAATAGGGGTTTGACAAATTAGCGAGCCAATAGTAAATTATATGTTTCTTAAATCTAAGATCAAAGATGATTAATACTGCTCTCGAAATAAAAATAATAATTATAGATCGAAATACATTTCAATCCTAAAATTTCAATCCAAACAATATGTGCCATTTTCGAAATATATTTTCACGTATCCAAACGGCCCTAGACTCTTCTATCATCCCGCAGATCATACTTTGCCTGGGTCAGGACAAATGTAGAACGGCCCTATGCCGCTATGCGGTACACTAGATGAGAAATCCAGATATTATTTAGGTTGACATGCTTCATTCCAATCACGACCGTCCAATCCGAAATCTAAAGGACAACAAGAAGAAAAGAAAAATATCCATTTGTTGTCTCTCAGTTATAAAATCCATTTGTTTCCCTCTCAAGGAGGAAGCCCCCCTTTCTGCTATACCCTCTGCTCTTTCTCTCTCTCTCTCTCTCTCTCTCTCTCTGTCTTCTAGTAAATACCATTGTGTTCTCTCTCTCTCTCTCTCTCTCTCTCTCGTGTAAAACCCATTTGTGTTTTTTTCTCTTACAGGGAAAACTCATCTGCTCTGTTTCTCTGGTCTCTATATCTGCTGTAAAACCCACTGGTCTTATCTGTACCCCGCAACGCTTGGGAGCCATGCATTGCCAAATCTCCAACCCCATAGGTCTGCAACTTCCCCCCTACTTCTTCTCCTTCTGCAACATAACCCACCTGCAACCCATAAACACGAGAACTTCCATTGTTTCTTCTGCAAGTATTTCTCAGGTCCACAACTATGGAACAGTCGATTTTGAGAGGAAGCCCCCAGTTCAATGGAACCATCTATACAAGAGGATATCCCTTTCAGGCCTTGGTTCTGGTGAGGTTCTTGAAGAGTGGATGATGCAGGGTCGGAAGATATCTAAATGGGAGCTTCGACGAATCTCCAAAGAACTCAGAAAGTTTCGCCGCTTTTATCTCGCTCTACAGGTTCCTCTCTCTCTCTCTTTCTCTATTGTAATTGGTACAAGAGGCTCGGAGGGTTATCGGATTTCCTGATTATTGGTATTTAGTGTTTATGGAAACAAATGAAAACCCCAGGGCTATAATATACTGGAGAAGGCATTTCAGGAATACCATCCTTTGAGTTTAAATTGTTATTCATTGAGAAGGTATTTAAGGAGCAGATTATTACTGGCCTAAAGAGTTGTTCTTAAATTAATATAAGTACAAGGAGTAAGTGGTGTTAGTTTTCTCTTTTGAAAATTTGGAGCCTATGCGTGAAAACCCTCTCTCTAAATAATATGGAATTTTCTTAATTATGCCTGATATGATATTCATCATTCAATTTGGTGTATATTTAGGGACTCTAGGACTTGATTTTGTGGTGTCTATAGTTATTTATCAATTGAAGGATCTTAGCATAATGGTTCTTTTTTATTCTTCTGTAAGTAAGAAGGATTGAGTATTGAGGAAAGGATGTGTGCTAAGTTTATAAAACTAAATGTCTTAGGCAAGGAATTAAATTCCTAATGAATCTCTAATGGAATTTATTTTCTGATTTCTAGTACTGAAGTTCAAAATGGTTCATTCACAATGAATGCCCTGTACGTCAACGATATCATGTTAGTAGTTTTGTTTTGAAAAATACTAGGTGGTATAATTGCTATTTCAAAATAATATATTTTCAACCCATAGTATTTGATAATGTATATTGTTGAAGAGAGAAGTAACCGATTTTAGTCCCACATTGGACTAAAAATTGTGCTTGCCAGAATTATGAAATTTATAGTGAGGTGTATGCACGAAGTATCCTTGACTACACCAAAAAGGACCCAAAATCCATGAATTACATTTTTCATAAATGATGCCCAAAAAGTGTAGTTATTTGTGTTTAGTTTTACAGGAACCAATTGAAAAGATTCCGATTTTTCTTGTCTTGTTTTTTTTGTTTTCTTTTTAGTTACTGATGAAAAAGGTCCACACTATCTACAAAGGTGGTCCCTCACTATACCAAAAAACACCCAAAGGTGCATCATTTAAGGAAGGTTTTTTACCACTTTTCTTTACCCAAGTGCTTCCCCTTTTAAAATTAAACAAGGTGGTTTGTCAGTGGTTCATCGTTTAAAGGAAGTGGAAAAAACAAGGTTCATCTTTTAAAAGGAAGTGGAAGGAAATGATGCAAAAAATAAGAAGACGAAAGAAAAAGGTCGAGAAAACAAAGATAGGGAAGAGAAGGGAAAAAAAAAAAAAAAGGGAAGAAAGAGAGAAGAGGCTCAACTGGAGAGCATGTAACAAAAGACTCAATAAAATGAGTAAAGGAATACAAATGGAGTTGATAGAGAGAGCTAGGAAGGTTTATGGAATCAGGAAGAGGAAAAACATGAGAGCGAGAGACTTGAAGTGTTTTGTGTTTGTCTTTCAAGAAAACAATTATCTTTAGAGACCCAGAAGGAAGAGCATATCCGGTCTTGCTTGAGGAAGTTGATGACTGAGAGCTCTTCAGATTTGAACTAGAGAACTGCATCAGTCCATTGGAGAAATGAATCATAGAATCATCGAGATTGCTCAAGGAAAAATACCAGATCTGTCCGCAAACATGTGCCGAAATCAAATGTGTGATGGAATCTTGTTTTAGTTTGTATTTTAGTCTCAAAAGAGTGATATTCGAACGATGGTGATTTTTCAGTGTATGATTTTCAGTAGGCAGGTTTTAGAAGGGGGTTTTCAGTTGAGGGTTTTCAATATGCGCTTTCAATAGGTAATTTCAATAGGCAGTTTTCAGTTAGTGGTTTTTAGTAGGTGATTTCAGTAGTAGATGGTTTCAAGAGTGGGTCTGAGCAGTTTTTTAGAGTGGTTTTGCAGGGTGGTTTTAAAGAAAAAATGTGGGTGGTTTTTAGTTCGGCCGACAACTCATAATAATCTCACTTTGATACCATGTTAAGGATTATTGTATTTCTAATTACCTGAAGATGTATACAAGACCGTAATTTTATAGGTTACAAGACCCTATAGAGGCTGTTAAGGTTGTTATAGAGTCACACAAATGTGTATAGGTTGTACAGGCTTTGAAGGCCGTGTCGATCAAAAAGGGGAAAAAATTTAAGGAAAATATTGTATTGAAAAATGTACAGGTTATTGTATATTCATAGCTTGTCTCTTCCAGTTTGTAGCTATAACACAAAACAAGTGCAGCCAAGCACATGAAGAGGGGAGCAGTCAGGTGGGCAAGTGAACAAATTTTCAAAAAAAGCCTTGATAAAGTAGAGGATATCATCATGTTTATAAGATATACAACAGTACGAACAACTTCAGCCCAAAAAGATGTGGGGACAGAGGTGGACAAAAGAAGTGCTCTTGTCGTTTCCATAATATGGCGGTTTTTGCCCTCCGCAACACCATTTTGTTTAGAAGTGTAAGGGCACGTCTTTTGGTGTTGAATACTTTTGTTGGACAAAAAATTTTGAAACATCCCACTAACATATTCCCTTCCCAAATACCTCTCGAATCAGAGTGCAAGCCTTCAATCTTGAGAGAAAATTGTGTTTCTACATATGAATAAAATTGAGGGAAAATTTGTAAACTTCAGTTCGATTGTTCATAAAGACGATCCCTATATCACAAGTATGATCATCAATAAAAGTTACAAAGTATCATGATCCTCCTTTTCATAGAACAAGAGTAGGTCCCTAGAAATCAATATGCTCAATATCAAACATAGAAGAAGAAATAGAGCTACTCCGAGTAAAAGGCAAGGCATGAGATTTTGCAAGTTTCACAATATTTAAGATTGGTTAAATCGTTGTTTGAGACAATACCAAGAACATCCCGAGAGATCAAAAAATATAATCGATAAGTAGAAATATGGCCAAGACGTTGATACCATATTGATGTGACATCAATAATTAAGACAATACATATTGAGGGATGTGGAAAATTAAGGTAGTCTAGGTAGTATAAATCTCCAACTTTATGTCCAGTCCCAATCAGCTTCCTTGACTACTGATTTTGTACGTAACATCTAAAAATAGAAAAGTTGACATTACATTTGGAGCTAGTGATTTGACCAATTGGAAGATCTAGTCCCAATCAGCTTCCTTGACTATTGTTCCTGTATGTAACATGTAGAAGGAGAAAAGATAACATTACAATTGGAGCTAGTGATCTAACCAATTGGAAGAAGATTCATGGCAATGGAGGGAACATGATAGACATTAGAAACACTTAATTAACCATAAGGGTTAGAAGTAGAGGAAATAGAGCCAATTTTTTAAATTGTTGTAGTGGTATATCCACAGTATGAATAATATAAGAAAAAGGTTTACAGTCAACTAGGATAGACTTATTAGCTGTTATATGACAAGAAGCTCCTAAGTCAATTAACGAACGAGTAGAAACAAAGTTATCTAAAAAGGAGGTGATGGTTATGAGGACAGTCGAGACTGTGAGAGCATAGACTAACTGTAATTGCTCCAGTGTAAGAGTTACCATAGATGGCACAATATCAATAGCTTGAGTTGCAGGTGATGAATGTGAAATGCACCCATCCAGTGGTTGGCTTGTGTCAGCAGCCATAACAATGTTGGACTTCTTCTTCTTAGGACATGTGAAGTTCATATGCCCAAGCTCCTAGCAATAATTATATCTGATAGATGACATATTTTATCTACGTACACCACTGGTTTTCATCCCAAAAACTTTTTCAAGGTCCGGCTATGTCAGGAAGATTAGTCCCACATCAATGGGAATAACAAGGAATAAGTGGGTCAAGATCTATAAAAGTAGAGGTATTGGGGCGCTTAGGGCATTGATGTAGCCAGTGAGGTAAAACCGAGGCGTGTCAATTGCTGGTTGAAATCTATTTCCAAACCCCCTCATTGGCTAGTGTTGGGTATGGGTCTGGGCCCCGGGTCCACAATTGCCCATCGGGTACGGGTACGTTCAATTTGGACCCATCGGGTCCGGGTCCATATAATCTATTTCCGGTCCGGGTCCCGGTCTGGGCCCGGGTCCGGGTCTGGGACTGGGTCCAGCTAGACCGACCCATACCCAACCCGTTGCCACCCCTAAAAACTGCCTATTGAGACTGCCTACTGAAACTGCCTATTGAAATTGTATACTGAAAATCACCTACTAAAAATTGCACACTAGAAAACCACTCTTTTGAGACCATAAAAAACCACTCTTTTGAGACCAAAATACCAACTGAAACCAGATTTGTCTCACAAATCTGATTTCGGTACATGATTTCTTACAAAATCTGGTATTTTTATTTTAGCAATCTTTGTGATTCATTCTTTGGTGGATTGCTGAAGTTCCCCCGTCCAGATCTGGAGAGCTCTTAGTCATCGACTCTCTCAGGGGAGACCAAGTTTGTTCTTCTTTATGGATGTCTGAACAAACTTGGTTTCTTGAGAGAAACGCATAGTTGTTAGTTTCTCGCTCTCTTGTTTTTTGTCTTCTTGAGTCCATGATTCTTCCTAGCTCCCCCCCTCTACTACGTTTGTGTTCCTTTCCACCTGTTGTTGGGTCTTTTGGTTTATGCTCTCCAGTTGGGCATCGTCTCTCTCTCTCCCGTTTTCTTTCTTTTTTCTTCTCTCCTTATCTTTTTCTTTTTCGGTCTTTTTCTTTCATCTTCTTGCTTTTGCATCGTGTTCCTTCCACTTCTTTAAAAGGTGAACCATTTGTTTCCACTTCCTTTAAATGGTGAACCACTGAGGGATCACCTTGTTTAAAAGGGAAGCACTTGTTTACAGAAAAGTGGTAAAAAGCTTTCATTAAATGGTGCACCTTTGGGTCTTTTTAGGTGTAGTGAGGGATCACCCTTGCAGATAGTGCGGACCTTTTTTCCCTATAATTAAACGAAAAGAGGAAAAATTTGAATATTTAAACCGGTTTCTGAAAACTAGACGGGAACACCTAGACTTCTTGCGTGTGTTTTATGAAAATGTAAGTTATGGAAAATGGCAATTAGGGTATATAGATGGAAC